GGTGGGGCCGCAGAGCCGCTGCTGTTGCCTCACTCTGCTCCCCGGGCCCTCCAGCTGCAGGAACAACTGCACCGCTTCATGGCCATGAACGAGGACCTGCGGCACAAGGTGGCCGTGGTGCAGGCGCAGCTCAAGAGCGCGCTGGAGAAGAAGTCGGACCTGGAGGCTGCGATGCTGCAGACCCAGAGGGAAACGAGCAGGAGGAGCAGGACCACCTCCGAGACCCAGCAGCCAAAGCCCAGCCTGGTGAGCGCAAGCCTGAGGTGATGGGAGGAAAAGGCAAGTGGGACTCGGAGGAGGAGGAGGGTTTGCCATGTGTGGTGATGGGAAGTGGGCAGCAGCAGCTCCAGCTACCAACTTAATTCCTGAGACATTCCCATCTCTGCCCGCACACAGCACCCAGGGTGGGTGCTCTGGGGTCTCTGCTTCCTTCTGACCCGTTTCCCATCCCTCCAGGAGGAAGCACCAGAGGAGCCCCAGCACCAGGATGGGGGCAGGAGCCCTGCTCACTGCTGCTTCTCCAAGGAAGAGCTGCAGCAGATCCTGCAGGAGCGGAACGAGCTCAAGACCAACCTGTTCTTAGTGCAGGAGGAGCTGGCTTATTACCAGCGGTGAGTCGTGCTGAGGTGGAAGGGGGCAGCGGGTCAGGTCCCCCCTGTCCCTACAGCCCCTGTCCCATCGGAGCCTGCTCCGGGTGCAGCCGGGGTGGATTGCTTTGCCAAGCTCTCCGTTAACTTGGCTGCCTTTTGCCAGGGAGCTGCTGAACGAGGACAGAGTTCCCAGCTTCTTCTTGGATGCGATGAAGTCGACTGTCAAAAGGCAGAGGAAGAAAATCAGAGCCAAAATGCTGGGAACGACGGAGGAGTCGGAGAGCAGGTGAGTCCAGTCCTGCTCCATACACCCTGGAAGGGAATTCCCCAGGCCAGGAGCTGCCTCCTCTCTGCTTCCTTCTGGAGATCAAAGGTTTAATGTCTGCAGCTGGTATCTTGCTCTGGCTTAGCCCTGGGAGCGCCGCAGGGGCTGGCTCTTTGCTGCACCTCGCATGTCCTTGTCACCGGTCACACGTGGTCTGTCTAAATGCCACCCGTCCCTGCGTGGACGTGGCAAAGGGAGACGAGGTGGTGGCACTGGGACTGCTGCTCTCTGCGCTGTGGTTGGAGGCTGGGCTGCCTTTGAAGATGACAGCAGAGATGTTCCCCGGAGGCTCTGCAGGACATTCATGGGCACCATTGACTCCAACAGACTTGTCACGGTGGGGAGGGCAGGACCCTGCCGGGCACCAGCCCCAGCTCTGCATGTTTGCTGGCAATGGGGGGGTGAAGCCTGTGCTGAAGCTGCTGTATGGCACGGGGGGAGCTGGATCTCACTGGCTTTTGGGGGCTTTAATAAAGGTCTGAAGGGGGCTCAGCTCTTCTATGCTATGAAATCTGCTCTTGCTTGTCTTGGGGTCTCTGCTGGCCACGGGGTGCTTGAGGGTGTTGAGTCCTGGTGAGGATGGCTGCTGCTGTATGGATGCTGCCCTGAAGTCATATGGATGCTGCCCTGAAGTCATCTCCTATGTTCCCTGCTTCCCTGCAAGGCCAGGACATCACCCACCTTAGTGCCATAGTGCTGATTGTTGGGCTGTTCCCCCAGAGAAGCATCACTTGCCCTGTGGGGCGAGAAGCCCAAAGACTTTACAGCAGGACATGGCAACTGGGGGCACATCATTGTCTGACCAAGCCCTGGGTGGGGGTTTGAAGCCGGTGTCTGAAGAGCCTTGAGATCAGCCAGCCAGGGCTGGGCTTGCCGTGAAATGCACATGTGGGACATGAGCATCACTGTGGCTTTGCAGCAGGTCATAGCTCTGGTCTGTGTGTCCCTGGCTCTGCTTGGCTTGAGGGGTGTCTCCTCCAGCACTCGCTGCTGTGCTGAGCCTGTAACTCACTTTGTGCTGCAGCGATGAGGATGAGGGCTCCTGGCTCCCAGCCCGTGGCACGGACTGTGTGGATGCGCATCCTCCCGAATCCAAAATTAGGAGCTTGTAAGTTTGCTGGGAAGCTGATGGGGAGGTTGGGATTCAACCGCTTCCCTGGGAAGGCTCGTCTCCCCCACGCTGTTATCTGCTTTCTCTGCAGCTTTGGGCTGTGGTATCAGGACAGCAGCAAAGATCCCCCCACATCCAGCAGCTCCGGAGCCTGGGAAGTCATTGACTCACTGGACATGCAGCTGGAGCCGGAGGAAGGCAGCGATCCAGCAGCCAGCTCCCCCGACAGAGCCACGCCACCCCTCTGATCCCATGGGAATCGCCTCGCTTGCAGCACTTCCTGGCTTCTATTTTCCCGGTGGCACAGCAGCACTGGCTGCTTCCCCATGCCATGGTGATGGTGAGGCCACAGTGTGGACAACCTACTGGGACACTTGGCCATGGGTTTCCAGCCTGGATCAGCACTTCCAGACATCTCTGCCCATCAGCCACCCTTTCACTGTGCCCATGGCTTAACCTATGGGGGGTTCTCACTTCTCCGTGCCTGCAGCTCAGCACCATGGGGGTCTGCACCCTCTTCCCATCCACTCCTGCCTCCTCCCACCAAACACCTCTCCCAGATCCTGCCCTGGGAGGGTATTTTGATGGGCTTCATCCCTGCAATGTGAAGGTGGAGTTGGGGTATCCAGCATCACCACACGGCTGGAAGGGGTTGCACACACTGCACCGGGTGTCTGGGTGCTCCCAGCTCTGGGAGCACTCGGGATCAGCACCATCAGTGCCGCTCCTGTACCACTTTGTACTGGGACCTCTTCCTGCTGTGGCTGGGAACTGGAAGACAGGAACAATCCTCATGTTCACAGGGACAAACTGGTCCCCCTCGGGTCAGGTACTTCAACTTTAGAACTGGAAGAGGAAATAAATCAAGTCTCGTTTCTCCTCCGAGGTACCCGTTGCTTGGGAAGGGCTGGGATGCTGCTGCTGGGATTCCATCCCTGTTCTCCAGCGTATCCATCACTTTCCATGCAAAGCTCCAATGGGAAGGGGGCTGCATGGACACAGTGCTGGGTATGGAGGAGTTAATGGTGTGAGGAGCAGCTTCCAGCCCGGGTTATCCCCCCCCCACCCCTGCTGAGCCGGCCATGGGTAGGAAAAAGGTGTTTCCTGTGCATCTGCTGACACAAAGCTCCTGGGGCCATGGAGAGGTGGGACAGGGGCCAGCAGCGGTTCAAAGGGCAGCGCGGGGAATGGCGTGTCCCCATGGGGGACATGGGGACCCCCCTGAGCCCCTGCCAGGGGTCAGTCAGCAGCACCATGGGGTAGCTCATGGTGGTTGGGGCAGGAGGAGGCAGCAGAGACCTCCTGTGGGTTGGGGGGACATTGGCTAAAGCAGCTTTGGGGGTGATGGAGGATGGCACAGGGGGTGCGGGACAACCTCAGGTGGGGTGTTCATGCTGCACCAAGCCCCTGGACACCCATCCCTGCTGCTGGGGTGGCACCAATGGCCGGGAATGGGCCGTGCAGCGGCGGTCC